CCGATCTCCCCAAAACCCCAAAACCCCTTGATTCAAATATATCAAATAGAAAGGTAAAATTAGTATTTAAAATTTATTTGATTAGTCAAGATAGAGTATTTAATAACTTAAGGTTAAAAGAAAATGGAAACTTTAGTGTCTTTGAAAATTTAAGATACACCTAGTAGATACAATGTACTTTAAAAGCTAGGATCTGGAGGTCAAGGAGGTGTATACTTGGCTGAAGATCTTCAAGACCCAGAATTGAGATTAGTTGCATTAAAGTAACAAGATTTAGACCAAATGCTAGGAATGATTAGGAAATCATTCCTTGGACAACATTAGTGCTTATAGTGCTAATTATGTACTCGCTGCAAACACTGCCAATCATGTGATTCTTGCAAGCATAAGCCTCTCACTATACAATAATCCAAGCATTTAGAGGAATCAGTTAATGAAGCAAAAGGGTTACTTTCCAAAGAGCTGCTTAGATTTTTAAGAGAAATTTCATCTACTCAGCTGAAACATCTGAATATTGTGGACATTTATGACTCTTATATCTCAACTGATAACAAATTCATCATCGTAAGTGAATTGGCGCATCAAGATCTTGAAAATTTTGTGGACAGACGATTCCAAAGACAGTAACAATTAACTAATCAAGAGATATCAATGATTCTTCTTCAAATATTAAATGGTCTTGAGTACATTCATGAGAAAAATTTCATACATAGAGATATCTCTCCTTAAAATATCCTTGTTTTCAAAGGCCAAGTTATCAAAATTTGTGATTTTGGATTTGTATCATATGGAGACTATACTAATGCTAATATAGGAAAATTAGATTATATGGCACCTGAAGTGAATTATGGAAATTAAAACTACAACAATGCAATTGATATATGGTCCCTTGGAATAACCCTCTATTACATTTGCACAGGATCTAAAATCTTTAAAGAATAATCAGTTAATAACCTTGCCAGAGATCAGAAATCTATTGAATTGCCTTCATAGCACTCATAGTTTTAGGAGATGTTTGAATAAATGATCTAGCTAAATCCTAATAATAGACCAACAGCTACATAGCTTAAAGAAGATTTAATGAAATTTATAGATGAAAACAACTTAGATTTATAAAAGTATTAAAGTTTGCTTTTGTCTCATTTAACTATATAACATTCAATTAAGATTTAAAAGTAAGGTGAAAATTATTAAGATTAGATATAGAGATATTTCAAATAAGATAAGATTAAAAATAATACTGATTCAAAGGAACCTATCTAAAATTTACTTAAAGAAATAGATAAAATATAGCTATTGACAAGATCATATTTGGTTAGTAATGAAGAAGAGAATCAAAATAAAGATGATGACGAAGAAGATGATGAGGATGATGAGGAAGATTACGATGATGAGGATGATGAGGATGATGAGGAAGATGACGATTTAACTAAACATTCATTTAATCCTATAATTCATAAAACATATTAAGAATCACCTAGTTAGTATGGATAATTTAATATGATATTAAAAGTAGGAGATAAATATTTAACTGGTACTTCTTGGGGAGAAGGCTGTAGAATATTAGACCAAAATCTACAGCTTATTACAAAATTAGATTAAAATGTAAAACTATTACATGAACAGAATGGTAATGTGTTGCTTTGCTATGAAAATAAAATAAGTAAACTTATTGGATTAGATAAATAATAACCATCAGTTTAAAAAGATATTTATTAGAGTACTAAAACTATTTTAAAAATATTGAAAATGAGTGATGATATATTTATCACTGGATAGAAGTATGGATATATTGAGTTATTTAGTCTTTCAAATCACTAATTCAAATCTACATTCTAAACTAAAGATTAAGATAATATTAGGGAAATATGTTTAATTGAAAGGAATTAAGATGAGTATACATTTGCTTTTGGTACTAGTATTGGTATCTTAATTGGTAAAATAATAATGAAGAGTTAATTTGAGTATTAATTCTAAGAGGATTAAAATAAATTAATAGAGGAAGTTTAATGTGCTTCTATGATGCTAATTAAGTAGAATGTTATAGCTGCTACTGTTTAATAGAATGTTAAAAATGCTAAGAAATACTATTTAAAGATATTAGATACTTAAACTAAATAAGATCTACATTCTATTGATATAAGTAAATGTAGTTAAATCTATGCAGCCTTAGATTATGACTATAATTAATATCCTTTTGCTTTCCTTAAGGACACTGAGAAGATATCAATAATTAATATGAATAACTACCAAATCATTAGCGTTATTTAATCTAATTGTATTGAAATGAGTCAATATTAATTGATATAATAGAAAGATAAAGATAATA